CTGAAAAAAAATTCTGCTTTGAGCAACGAATCAAAGAGATTTATCCAGTACATTTGCAATGCATTTTGGATTAACCAATATAACAGCAAAAGACGAATGCCCTTGTTGTGTGCCTAGCTGGAGAATACTGAAGTGCTCTGATTGTTTATTGAATTTTAATACTAAAAAAATGGCTGCCTCTTTGATTTTTTTTTGGCAGAAATAGCAACTGTGGCTAATGATCATTTGGGTCTTAATTTATTTCTAATAAAATGTAATTTATCAGCAAAGGAGAAAAGAATCTCAAAGTCACGCACACAGACGCATCAACTAAATACTAATTTTTCTTTCAGGTTTCTGGTTTTGCTGGTACATTCATGGAAAATCTATTTTTTTAAAATAAGAAAAGTCCAGCAAGTCCAAATTTTAGGCCAAGTTGTGTCATAAAAGTTTTTAAACCGAGATTTTCTTCTTAGACCAAGTCAAATAGTATATACCTGAAACCTGTAGTACTCTACAAATACACAAATATGTATGTGTGTATGTATACTAGTTTCTTCAAATCTATTTATATTCCTAATTCCCTTCCATTTGTGACTGGACAGGTCTTGATGAGCAGCAGGAATTGTAAGCTTTAGATAATGGGCAAATGCTGGCCAATTCTGATGGGAAAAATTCTGGACAACAGTTAAGTCAGAAAGTTCTTAGTTCAGGATGAGGTGGCAGTCAATSACAAATTTTCTGCATAATTTTGGAAATGGATTCTTCAATTAAAACCTTCTTTTTTTTTTTCTCTAGCTCTAGCCCTGCTGGACTTGGATGCCATTTTTCTGTGTCTAGCAGTTTCAATACAAACTCAAGACTCAAATACCCATGGCTTTTCAGGAGCAGACACTTAATGTGTCAAAGGTAGGCACCAGATCAAATAATTCCTCCTAGTCTGGCTCTCTCATTCACTAGAGTCTTTMCTGGTCATGACTTTCAAATTGTTAGTAGCCATGTCTCAATTACTCAATGAAAGGTGCAAGTTCTCAGTGTACCTGAAAATGAAATCTCAGGACAGGCATTTCTAAAATATAAAACCCTGAATAAAGTTAAACCCTTGAATATTTGGGAGCACACAAAATGAACAAGACATCTTAAAAAAATGAGCAGTAGCTCTAGGTAGAACCTGTATCTGTGTCAGAAATTGGAATTCAGTGTGCAAAACAAATTGAGTTAAATAGTGTGTTTAACTCATTACATCAACTTTTATATCTCTCATAGTTACAGTGATTCAAGGAATATATTACAGGTTTCTTGAACAAATGGAGCCTGCCCACACTAAATGAGTCAGATAAAAATCAATTACATTGTGGATTTTTAGCTGTGGAAATAATCAATGTCATCATTGTTCYTTTCCTAGCAACAAAATATAGGTCCTGGTCAACCAATGCTTTTAATCTGGTTTGTGCAAAACATTTTAAGTATTTTTTATATTATTTTGTGGGCTCTTTGAAAATGGAAAGCCATTTGGTATCAAGGCCAAATATCAACAGAGCCTGCTTTTTAACATTGATAGCACTCTGCAGTGCAATAATTCATTTTCAGTGCAGTAATTCATTTTTGTTTATATTAACATCAGGCCTTATGTTTTATCATATTCAGTAATGTTTTAGGCTCACACTGGTGAATTACTTGCAATGGCATAGCTACCCTGGAGTCCTACTCTCAGCAATGGAGCAGGAGGTAAGAGCGTACTGGTATGAGATACTACTGTAAGTTTTCAGATCTTACTGRTTTTTATCCATCAGATGTTCTTGGGGAAGAATAGGAGTTGTATCATATGCCAAACTTCCCCAAATATTGCATCTGCTATGMATGCTTTCCTGTTCAAGGACTAACAGAAAGGAGAGATTCATAAAAAATAAGACAATACATTGTATGCGCTATTTATTTTCAGGATGAGTAAATCTGTATTTTTTCTAAACAAATACAATTATGCATGATGCCTTTTCTATCATCAGGTTTTATCAATTTCCATTCTTCTCTCTAATTTACCCCTCAAGGACTCATATATATCAGCAGGCGCTGAAAACAGATGTTGATAATGCTGTGTGTGTTGTTTACACCTCCAACTTTCATTGGATCCCCTGAATTCCAGATGGTACATAGTCATTTTATTCTATGTRTAAGATTAAAATGGTTTCGTTTCAATATGCATATCTATCTGTTCTTTGTCATTTTAATTCCAATGTCTAAACCAACCTTGTTATGTCCTTTTCACCTTTTCTACTCTTCCAATTTTGCACTTKGTTGTCATCTTGTCATTTGCTGAGATGAGAAAAAAGATTCCCCTTCTTCAACCACTGCTTTGACTATTTTGCTCTTTATTTGAATTCCTAAATGGAGATATTAAATTTTAGGACAATTTACGTCTTTTACTAGTACTTTATCTAGGTCTCTCAAGGTGCACAGAGTCTTACATTAAATTGCAGTAAAAAATAAGGTAGCATGTATRTTAAGGGATTTTTCAGAACTTCCAAGAACTGTAARTGTTGGYAGCATGATCTACTGCACAATCAATWAAATCTTACAAGATCTGAACTCTGCAGTTCTGCACCATTCTAATCACAGTCCTTACTAAGCTAAACCTTATGTAAGAATTTTATTTTCAATGCCTACATTTCCCACTTTTAATCTCTTATTTTTAATATACTGCATACCCTCCCAGAATGAAACATTTTCCTCTGCAAGCTCACACTAACTCTATAAAATTAKTAAAATTCTCCATTTGTACTTTATAAACAAGAAGAGACACGTGCTACTGTAAATTATTTATTCAGTGCCATTATATTCAWGGCACTTTGTATAACAAATCAAGTCCTATGACAAAAATCTGATGCTTTATCTAGGCCCTATCTGGAATGAGTCCATGAAAATCTATAATTAAACCAACATAGATCAGTAGTAACTTTAAACAACTTAGTCATAGTAAAATCAATTTAGCTGCATAGCATTTGGTCCATGAGCTTGGCTTCAAAAATGCATCCTTCAAATTTGGCAGAGTAAAGGAAGCAGGAGAGAGCTGAAATCCCCTCCTGCACACACAGTCCTGATTCTCARTTCTCACGTTTATAAGCAAATGTTCCTTTATTTCTGCAGATGAAAACACTTTTGCACTCRGGCTGTAAAATCACAAGAAAATGTGTTTAAATTACAAAATTAAAATTTCTCATGGCCTCCTCCTTACAGAAGGTAATGCTTAAGGTGATCTAAGATCAAAGGATTCCATTTGAAGAGGAGGCAACACAGGCAGGCTGCACACTCATCATCACTTAGAAAGAGCTGAGCATCCTGAGGCTCAGCCGTGACCCATCCTGCAAAAACATCAAATATAGTATAGACAACAGAATTCTGTAGAGGAATGCACCCTATACGTGCTGTGAAATTACAGATTTAGATGAATCTAGAAGATCTTAGAATCCGCATCTCTGCCAGCTCTGATTCAATCCTTCAGACATGCATAACTTGACAAGAAACATGGTTGCCTTTAGCAACACATCCAGGTTAAGTAAAACAAAGGTAATTCAGTTGCTGATCACAATTTCATGTCCTTGTGCTCCAGAATTACACTTATGCAGTTCCAAAACAGCCTCCATTTTTTGGCCTGATCTTGATGCTATTTCACTTGCAAAATTAATCCTGAGTTTAGCTGAAGTCATGCAGCAGTCATATATTCTGGTTTATAGCTGCTCAGCCCTATTAAGCAGATGAGAAGAAAATGGAAAGCAAACAGAAAAGGTAAAAAATTTCTTTGCACGACTGAGCCAATTGCTCTTACATTAGCATGAGCAGTTCCGCCACAAGACTGTGATCACCTCTTCCTACAATGGTGTTGGGATATTCAGATAGGCTGAACCTGAGACTTAGWAATGCAGTTTAGTTTTTATTTGCTTAATATACCACATGCTGCCTCATAAAGAAGGGAATTGACAAAAACTACTTAATAAAAAAGACTTCCCCTAGTGCTTTCCATCTAATGATCATCAAGCAGTTTACAAGCAGGACTAAAGAAGCTGTTTTTACTTGTAGATAATAATACCCACATTTTACAGATGGAAAAATCATCTAGCCATAGGAATGCATTTTAGTTGACAACATTAACTTTACCCAGCGCTTCGCTGCAGATTTCACATGATGAGTAGAGGCACTCAGACCTCTGCGTGCTGCACCACATAGAATTAACGAGGTCCCGTCTGTTCAACTGGGAAATGGCAACCATATTGTTGTTCCTGTACCGCTGGGGCAAAAAAAGGGACTCCGGATGAGAAAGATGAAGCAAACACAACCATGCAAGGGTCACCCGTGTATTTCAGCAATCACCGCATTGTGTAGCTTAGTACTGACCGAGACAGAAGCGGCGTGGGCCCCGGCCCGTGCCCACCACAGCGCCCACAGGGCGGGCCGGGATGGGGGCACCGAGTGCAGAGACACTGCTGTTTTTTCCTTTGCTTTTTCCCCGTAACTTTTCTTTTCTTTTTCAGGGAGTAGTTGTTGGTGATTCCCAATTCATGAGCGCGTTTAAACCCCATGGAAGCCTGACCAGAAGAACAACCCATGAAGGAACTGAGAAACTGCCAATGCTTATAACGACACCGAGTTACTTCAGTTCGCAGGTTAGGAACRCGCTGAAAATGACGTAATCTATTACTTTATTATAATTAATTTAAAAGCCAGCGCATCTTCGGCGCAGGTTGAACCCGAAGCCGC